ATTCCTGAGGCCGAGACAGAGATTTCATCCGGCTTCCCAGACATATTATAGTATATAGTACGAGTACGAACAAGATCTGTCGTTCGTTTTTAAATTTAACATTTCGGAATTTTTACGCAGACTGAGGGTCGACTGTATCTTGATAACCTATTATTTGTCTGTAGCACACATAGCCTATATCTAATCCAACTTCATTTTCAAATAAAAGTTATGCTACCCGAAGCTGCTGTCACTAGCTGCGCCATCCACCATCACAGACTCACTTATTGTATTGTCTTTTGAAGTATGCCTACTATGACATACACGTAAAACACTTCATTCAGTTCGTTTTCACTTTGTTCTCAACTGACCCTAAAATCAACTAATCTCTACAGAGACGTCCCTCCCCCCCCCGCTCCAGTCTCCTCTGAGCTCTTCTCCCCTCTACTCTTGACTCTTTCTACTGTTCCCCTGGTTCTTTCTTACTGATGTCATTCAGCCACACCCCTAATCTTAGGGGAGGTACACCTAGCTTTCTCGGTTAAGGGCGAAAAATCTTAGAGATCCTGTGTGCACGTTAAAGAAACCTTGGTGGTTCTTAAATCAATAAGAGGAGGCTTATGCCTGTCCTCGTCGTTTTATGCAAAAAAAATTCTGAAATTACGCAAAATGAGCCCAAAAATATGAAATTATGCGATTCTGTTAATTTTAATAAAGAATGATAAGGGAAGATAATCAGAAATTATGCAAAAAAATGATCAAATTTTGCTAAATTATGCGGGGTGCATAAAACCACGGGGACAGTTATGCCGCCAACAGGACGAAATTGAAGAATCCTACCAAAACCGAAAATACTCAAGTCAGTATGAAAACATATAGAGTACCGTACCTTCGAAATTGGAATGTGGCTGCCTGATGGCAAGGGGCCCTTCGAAGTTGGAAAAACGGTCTCTTACATTATAAAAATCAGTTGCACTGCAGGTTGAAGAACCAGCAGTTGACTACCTGTGACATGTAGCGGGGGAACGCTAAGAAGAAGTTGGATCTAGAATCTATGTGATGTGTTGACACTTTTGTTCAGCCAGCGCACTTTGCAGCATTCAGTGTTGAAAAGGCCAAGATTTTACTCAGTGACAATCAATCTAAGAAACTAAGAGATTTAGATTACAAACTTCAGAATTGTAACCTATAAGCCTTCTTGGTTCAAGGGGCAGGGACGTTTGGTTATGTAGGCCTCGGTAGCTGAAATAAGCTGCCGGTGGGGAGGGGGGGGGGTGATGATTATTTATGCTCCACATGTAGTCCACAAAAGCTTAGCTGTGGGGCTGGATTATTTGCGTTTTACATGGCATATCGAGTGCTTATTTGGGCTACATATAGCCTTTATAAGGTCACCCCAGATTTAACAGAATATAATAATTTTAATGATTATTTTACTTGTAGGCAAGAAAATCATCATACTGGAGATGGTGAACACATTTGATTTTTTTGTTACAAAGTACTAATTCAAATTGCTTTTTAGTAGTTTTCTTGACAAAATCACATACATTGATCTCACAAAGGTGCCTTTTCTTATGTGCATGTCTTTATAACAAACTTCTTTTAAATTTCTGCTGTAGTTTCTGAATTGAATGAAGTGAATTTTGAATTTGTTTCATTGTCAGGAGTACACAAATTTAGAAATTCATGATTCTTTTTGCAACTTTTCCTAACTTTGGACTGTTTGTATTAATTTTTGAAGTTGCATTTTATTTACAGTTCTATACACTAAAAATGAACTTTCTGTAGTACATCAAGATTTAGTCACATAATTTATACCTATATCTAGTTTCTGTAATATTGCTACTGTAAAAATTCCTCTTTGCTTTTGAGTGGTATGGTTTCGAAATAAGCCAATATCCAATTTAGAAACTCTCACAAATGATGGAGTTTCATCTTTTAAATAAGGTCTATTTATATTTTTAATGTTAGTAAGAGAATGATAAAACTAGATCATAAACTTATACAAAAGATTTGATAACACTCTCATTGTGATCATTTGTAATAAATTTTCCCCTTCTTTCGCAGGTTGGCAGAAAATCGAAGCAAACAACTTCCTACCTTTGGTACAGATCTGAAAGAAGATGAATTGGATGATGGGGTGGAGAAATATATGGGAGGCTCTGCGTGCTATGAAGCGTTTGCCCGAACAAAGTCTGTCGAGGATCTGCTTAATTTGTGATGCCTTTCTGCGGGAACGAGGTGTTGATTTCTTCAGTATTTATTTTTGCGCTCATGTATCGTTTTGTGTGTGTGCAAGAATCTTTCTGTTTCAGTATGTTTGCGATGTTCAAGTTAAGTATTCACAAGTATTTATTTGCTGTTCGTATTTCAACTATGTGAGTTCTCCCTGGGAAATTTCAAGGGTTGAGATAAGTGTGTTATGTGATCAAGAGCGGTCTTACTATACAAAATGTAATGTAAGGTCTTTTGGTATAGTGTTATGTCATTGAGTAGGAGTTGTTCATTCTTGTGACTCCAATTTATAAAATAAATCATATTTGCCAAAATTAAAAATCTGTATGAGCTGTAGATTAAAAGATAAGTAAGAGTGATGTGTTAGTTGCATGTTTGTAGAGAAGGTTATTGGCCATTGGTCTCCTTGTGGCAGTCGAAAAATTAGCATGATTCATAGTTTGCTATTTGAGGTATTTTTCTCATGTTGTATCATTACGTTGCCTGACTCGAATCAGAATTTGACTCTTTATATCAGTTTCAAGTGAGTTTGAGTAATTCCCATTGTGTTTTAGGTGTTACTCTCCCTCGAAATACAGCTCATGTCTTTAGTTCACATCAGTTTTTATAAGGTTACTCACTGTAATATAGTTGAGCTTGTTATCTCTGTGTTCACATGGGCAAGGATTGGTCAGAGTTGATAGGTCACAGATACCTCAGGTTTCATTATATTCTTCACCCTCCCTAGTTTGCAAGCTCATGGAAAATGTGACTTTAGCCACAGTTTTCTCCCATATCAGCAGGCTTTTGTCTTTTGTGTTTTATGCTTCTCAGTTAAACAGTGTATCTTACATGATCTCAGTATGATTTTTATCAAATGAATTTCTTTCCTTATTTGAGATGTTTCTAGTGTATATGTATAAAAACTGGGATTTGTATGAAGGTTTGGGCCAAGTAGTGATATTAGTAGTGTTTCTGAAATTATGCTATGTTACAACAATTGTATTCGGGGGGTGTGGTTCTAGTGTGATATGAGAATTTTTTTCACTCTCACTTAATTTTTTTCCTGGATTCATTCTCAGGAAATCCCTTTTATCATTGAAAAGTTTCAGCACTGTGTTAAGTTTTTTTTACAGAATTGTGTTCCTTGAGTTGAATTTATACTGACTGCATATCTTTTTGAACGAGTGGAGAGAGATTGTAAGGCAGTGGGAGAGTTTGCTTGAGCTCAAAATGTTTATAATCATTTGAATGAGCTTTAAAATGAATTAAGTTGCAGCTGTATGTGAAGTTTGTTGAAAAGTTTTTGTTATGTCTATCTTTGAAAACCAGAATTTGTTTGTGTAAACTTCTGTGGGACGATTTTAGCTTCATCTTCTAATTATAAATATCTGTCTCTTTGTTTCTCACAACGAATGATGTTCAAGAAACAATGAATGTTACACTGTGAGGCGCAAACAACCTAGGAAAAAACCTCCTCTGCAATTTTGCAGTCCAATCACCCCTATTTCTTCTTAGTAGTTTTGCATTTGCTTTAACCCTTTATTTTGAGAAATGCCGCAGCAGCCATATGCATTAATGATATCCAGGTGCTATAGTATATATATATATGATTTGCACTCCTATTTTGAGTAACATATCGTCTTTGTTCGTAAAAGAATTGAGCGTCTCTTTCGCCTTGCTTTACAAGTTAAAAGAATTGAGCGTCTCTTTCGCCTTGCTTTACAAGTTAAAAGAATTGAGCGTCTCTTTCGCCTTGCTTTACAAGTTAAGCAAATAGCATTAGAGCTGCTCTTTTTTTAAAAATTGCGACAGCAATGATTTTGCGTGGCCTTAAACAATGGAACAAAGCTCTATCTGCTTTAGCATGCTTTATTTTCTTTAATGAATGTCATTGTATGCAAGGATCAGACTGACTGCTTTTCACTCTTTACAAATGTGTTACAAACCTAATGGTCTTCTATTTACCCACTTGATTGGTAAGTAAATTGTGTGACATAACTGATTCAAATCACTGATTGCTGCTATTTCTTTTCATGATAGTATGACTTAATTTATTATACTTGTGAGTTATTTATGAGTGCCGTTGCATGTATTTTGTAGCAATGCTGTCTTCAGTTTTCTGCATAGCGTGTCAGAGTAAAGAAAAAGCCATTTCAAACTTTGCTTTATAAATGAAAGTTAAAGCGTAATTAATCTATGCTTGTTCTTCTTGCTGCTTTAATGGTTAATGCTTCTGTGTATGTCATTCTTCCTTCTTTAAAGTCCCAAAGAAGTGAAATATGTATCCAAAACTATTTGATGAGACAGTCTATGACCTTAATCTGATAACATGTATGTCATGATGATTTGTGTCACGATGCAGTGGAATCAGGAGCTCGTCAATTTTTGGGCAAATGGAGTTATTGGTGTCATCTAAAAGGTTGTTTATTTGCCTTGCTTTTGATGAAAAAAATATCCATTAATCTTTAATAGAAGGGGGGATATTTGCGATTGAAGGAGGTGGGAAGTAAAATTAGTGAAAAAATGGTGGCTAAAATTTGGTGACTTCCATTGCTTAAGAGTCCTTGGAAACTGCAAATTGACATTTTATGTGCCTTTAATGAACGTTTTTCCACAAAATCCCTCTTAAAAGTGTTTTTGAATGGACCTACAAGCCAAAAAAACAGAAATTTGAAAAAAATTTCAGAAATTTGAAAAAAATGTCCGAACTGGTCGATAAAATGTCGATTTCTCGTATTTCATCTTTTTGACAAGCATCTGATTTCACCACGATGCAAGCTCTTAGCAATCACATACAGAAGACATGAATTCAGTTTTCTCATGGGGAAGCTTTTTTCCCTTTTAACGAGTGTCTCCTCCTGCCTTCTCGGTTGCTGCTGTAGTGGGTGGTTGGTTAGCGGATGCTCTGGTGTGGTTTGCTCCTTCTCTCTATCGAACATCTATCTTCCTCATCTCTCCTCCTTCTTTTATTGGTATGTTACTAACTGGTAACCACTGTTATCTCGGCGTTTATGTGACCTAACTGTGTTGCATGTGCTGTAAAACTGTACTAAACTAAACTAGATTAAACTTGGAAATTGTATTCCATCCACATAAATCTAGCTTGAATTGGCCCTGAAGGCACGGTCGAAGCAGGTTGCCCCTTATATGATCTTAAGTATGTCTTTTTCGGACATATAACATTTACTATTAATTGTTTTGTTTTTCTTTGTGCTAAGCAAGGGAGAATGCTAGTGAGGTGGGAATGAATAGATTTTAAGCCGGTTTTCTGATGATGTGTATGCTTAATCCCTTTGAGACATGTGGGTTTCAGCTTTTTAAAATTAAAAAATTGTTGATATGGTGTACTTACTACATGTAGTCAGGAGTGTCAACTTCGACAGACTCTTATACCGGCTCTTTCAAAAGTGTTTCACCTCACGCTTTTGCAAGCCAGTGCTTGTCAACCTTTATATAGCGAATGCCCACTTTTGCCACCTTTTAGAGGCTGAAATTTATTTTCATACTGCCTACCTGCTTGTATTTCTAAGCAGGGCATTTAGCAGTTCCTGTCACTACTTAAGTGATCTAAAGTGCCCTCCAAAATTACCTAATCGCCTGCGAGTGGGCAATATTGCCCTGGTTGGCAAACACGACTGTAAGCAATACAAAGATGAAGGAAATGCTTCGACTTATATGAAGTTAATTTTCATAAAAATGTTTTCATGTCTGTGAATGTTATCAATAGATAATGGTGAATTAAATTGTCACATATGCCCTGAAGAGAACATTTTGAGAGATGCATGTTATTGGTAAAGATTTTTCGGAAAGTAAAAGTTGAAGACCCCCAAAGAAAAGTTTTTAATACCTGTTCAGATCTTTTTATCTGAACGTGTATGTGTCAAGACGCGGTGGAATCAGGCGCTCATGACTTTTTGTGCATGTGGAGTTATTGGTATCATTTTAAAGCTTGTTCATTTATCTTGCTTTTTTGAGGAAAAAAAATACCCATCTATCTTGAGCAGAAGTGAAGGTATTTGTGATAGGAAGAGGTAAGTTCACTTGGTTTCAGCAGTAAAAATAGAGAGAAAATGGCCGCCAAAGTTTGGTGACTTCAATAGCTAAAGAGTCCTTGAAAACTGAAAAATAACGTATTTTGAGCTTTTAATCAACTTTTTTCAATATAAGTCACATAGAAATATGGGGGTTTTTTGGACATAAAAGGGTTGAACAAAAAACCCAAAAGATTTGATTAAAATTGCAAAACTGAAATGCCTGTTTCCCTAATTTTGTTATTTTGACGAGCGCCAGATTTCACCATGATGCTTCACATATACTTAATGGATCTGAACGTGATGAGGTGTAAAATATTTGGACATGTCTTTCATTGCTAAGTGATCTAGTTTGGTAGGGTCATTTTTTGGGGGGTGCCATGAAAGTGGAAATTCTGGCTAGGGAAATAGATCTGGTTCAGATAATGGATTATGTTTGGGAAATGAATCTCTATAACCTCTTCAGATTTGTTTATACAATTATAAGTGTCAGCTTTGTTCTGCTTGAAATGATCTGGTAATTTGTCTGTTTTTGTGTGGTGCATTTGCTGGTTTGTTACATGTCCCTTTGAAATCCACCGTTCTTGTCACAGATCAACAGTGTCTGTGGTGCGATTGGTGGGCTCTCTGCCATTACACTCAAAAGGCATGACTTTGTTTTCTGCATGCAAAGGTCTATTTTATTGAGTATATTTGCGTCTTTCTGCTAAAATGTTGTAGCCTACTTTTGCGCTATATAATTTTGAGGAAATGAAATGTCATTGACGCCTAGAAGCATGAGGTGACTATTTGTGCTATTCGAATACCGTGTGGAAATGTTTTTTTATCATCCACAATATTTGCTATTCAATATATATAAAAATTCACTGTTCACAGTGCTATTCAGAATGTCTATTCACTGAGCGCATGATGGCATGCACTCAGTGCAATACAAATATGTCAGGCCACCATTCATAATGTTTTGACTTTCAAATATGCGAAGTAGGAGAGTTAATTGAAACAGGGTAAATTGTTAATTTCTTGCAAAACCATTAACTCTTCAAAAGTAATGGGAGCTTGAGCTATTCGTGGTGTGACTACTGAGTATGGAGTAGTGAATACTTCTTTGAGGCATGTTTTGTTACTATTGTTGGCTCCTCTTGTTTCTCTGTCTCATAATCATCAACTATAAAGTACTTGTACTTGTATTGCTGTATTTACCTCCATGCTTTTAAATATAATAATCATAAGCTCTGATTTTTCGATGGGTTGAAAAAAAATGAGACGGAAATCATATATTTTTTTGGCGTTTTTCTTTATTAAACATAGGTGTTTTTATGCCTCTATCGGGACAATTTAGGTAATTTAGGATGTGGCTTCTGACCCTGCCTGTCAGCGCTAAACCAAGACTGAGAGGGATACATCCCAGCAGAAAGGCCGAGATAGTCGGTAACAATTTTCTCCGCGGAATAGAACTCTGGTCTCCTGTATGCAACAGCAAAGCGCCTAACCACTACAGCACTGACGCAGATATTATCTCAAAACCACGCTGCATTGGAATGACTGTGAATAGCGTAAAAAGTGTGAGTGTTGAATAGTAAAGCCGAATGGGCACAGCTTTAGCCTACTCAGCACTGATTCAACTTGGCAGATGGGGTTGAAACAGCCCAACTTCTATACTATTAAAATTTTGTCGATTGAGTGTGACACATTTACAATCAATTACATACCTTCATAACTTACTCAGTTGTTTTCTGAATGATGGCTTTTTTTTTTTTTTTTTACTTGTTTAGGTGATTTTTCAAAGGAAAAAAACAAAGTCGTATTAGCTTATATCTTTTTTCTAATTTATAGAAATTGAAGAAAGTGGGTTATGAATCATATGCTGGCTGTGCTGATAGCTCAGTATCATGCTTGGCTATGGTGCCAATAGCCTTGGTCCGAATCCCTTACCCTTGTGATTCACATGACTGATCGTTTCCTATGATTTAGATTGTTCTCAAAATGTAGAGGTGACAAAGATGAAAAGAATCTCAATACTGAAGTGGATGCCCTGACATGTGTCGGTAAGGATGTCAGATCTGTTCATATACAATGTTTATGTGGCAGTGCTTTCGACTATGGCGCACATGGCCCAGTTCGAATCCTGTCATAGAAAGATGTTTCTCAGCAAGGGATGCATGTTGATTTTTAAAAAATCCTCTCCTGTCCTATTGGAGATGGATATTATTTTGAGTTCCCAATTCTTGACTGACATATTTAATGTTTAAAGGGATATATAAAACTCAATGTTACAGATACACGTGTATGCAGATTGTAATTTTGCAGTGTTTCTCTGTATGTAGGCATTATTTTGAAGATCCCTGATCCCCTGAAAGAAGATATTTTGTGCTAAAACTGGTGTGAAACTCAATGTAATCTACAGAGGTTTGTTTTGCGGTGTTTTCTCTGTATAATATT